TGCCCGGCTGCAAGTGATTCTAGTCACAAGATTCCTATTTCAAACTTTGAATTTGGGCATGACCAAGCAACTGTGTTACAAAACCTTTATAAATTTATTCATCCAAACCCAGGGAATCGGCCACCTATTTACTGCAAGTCTGACAGAGCCAGAGTCAACTGGTGTTTGAAGCATATGGAGCAGGCATCAGAAATCAGGCAAGATCTAGAACTGCTCACTGTTGAGGACCCTGTAGTGGGAATTTACCAGCAAAAATTCCTCAAGGAACCCTCTAAGACCTGGGTTAGAAGCCCCCGAAATGTGGCCACGTGACCCTGTTCTAGCAACACAAGGTGCAAGTAGTGTGAAGAAAATGATATTCTCTTCTGTGCTTTAGCTGTTTGCAAGAAAGTCACGTACTGCATCAGTAATTCCCTAGCCACTATGTTTGGAATCCAGCTCACTGGCGCTCATGTGCCACTACAAGACTATGAGGCCAGCAACAGTATGACGCCCAAAATGGTTGTACTGGATGCGGGGCGTTACCAGAAGCTAAGAGTTGAGAGTTCAGGGTTCTGTCATTTCAACTCTTAACAAACAGGAACAAAGGTCAAACACATCCACTCGTTGTTACCCATCTGGGGTGAAAATTTCTGGCCCCAACAGCAGTGTTTGAAGAAGAGGGTTTCCCCGACTGATAGAGAGCATCTCCAGCTCCTCTAACAACATCCACAGATTCTCCAACTGTGAAACTTCACTCTCAACTTACATGTCCCAAAAAGATGGGTACAAATCTTTCTCTTCTTCTTTTCTTTTTAAGATTTATTTATTTATTATGTATACAGCATTCTGTCTGCGTGTATGCCTACAGGTCAGAGGAGGGCGCCAGACCTCATTACAGATGGTTGTGAACCACTATGTGGTTGCTGGGAATTGAACTCAGGACCTCTGGAAGAGCAGCCAGTGCTCTTAACCACTGAGCCATCTCTCCAGCCCCCCCCTTCCTTTTCTTAATGATGGTACTTCTTGCAATTTCTGGAAAAATAACAAGCCTAACTTCCTTTTTGACTACAGCCATATTAAGCAAACAGATCACATCAATAGTAAATGTCACTCCTCTAAAAATGAGCTAATTTGTAAGGAAACTATTTCATAGATTAAAAATAATTGTGATTGGATAAAAAATATAATTTAAAAAATAGTAGTTAAAAGACTCATCACAGGGGCCAGAAAGATGGCTCAGCAGTTAAAAATGCTTGTTTCTTTTCTCAGGTCCCAACACTGATATTGACTCACAAACACTCCAGGGATCCAATATCCTCTTCTGACTTCCTGTGGCACCCATACTCATCCATACTCATGTGTCATACACACAAATAATAATACAAATAAGGAAGAAAGGGCAAGAACACTACCAAACTCATTTTGTAAAGCTAGCATAATTCTGATACCCAAAGTAGATGACGACACAACAAACAAACCCTCGGACCAATCTCTCTGATGAGCACAGATGCAATGTCTCCCAAATTACTTTTAAAGTCGAGATTACGTTATGGTCATACACCATATTTGGTTGCACATGCCTATAATCCTATATCACAAGCAAGTTGGTTTCATATAAGGGATTCAAGGTTGGTTCAATATATATACAAATTTTAAAACTCCCTCTCTGTCTCTCTCTCTCTCTCTCTTCCCCGAGACAGGATTTCTTTGTGTAAAATCCCTGACTGTCCTGGAAGTAGTTCTGTAGACCAGACTGGCCTCAAACTCACAGAGATCAGCCTGCCTCTGCTTCTTGAGTGCTGGGATTAAAGGCGTGCAACACCACTGACCAACTGTTATTTCCTTTGTTTGGAGACTCTTGAAGCTCAGGATGGCCTCAAACTATGTAGAGGATAACTTTGGATTCCTAATTTTTTTTACCTCCCAAGTGCTGGGATTATGAGTATGTGCCATTACACCTGGCTTTAATTTTTAATACAATCTTGATTTTTTTTACAGCAATTTGGAAATGGAGGAAAAAGGAAAGAAGGAAGGGAATAGGGAATAAAGAAGGAGGGGTGAGAGGGAGAGAAAATTAGAAGAGTAAGTAGTAATTAAACCAGTCCTTTTATCTCAGTCTTAATGGTTCATGTAGAAACAGGTATAAAAGTTTTCTCAGAAAGAAAGAATTGTTTATTGTTCTGGAGGTGTGTAAAAACAATGCTGACTCAAAAGTAGAACAGGACAGCTGCAGATGCTGTGCCCAGTGCAGACACTGAGCAGGCACCGAATGAATCAATAATTAACAATGCAGATGCACAGATTTGATGAAGATGAACAATTGCGTGGCTGGGATTGGTGAAAAGCAGAACTATTGTCTTCGGAAAACTCGTGTTCATGGATTTGTTAGCAAGTGCCTGGGTAATAGATATAAAACATAATTTTAAATGTTTTAATTATATTGACATATTTCTTCATAGAGCACTTATTAAAGTTTTTTAAAATAAGTAGGGCACTGGTGGCACACGCCTTTAGTCCCAGCACTTGGGAGGCAGAGGCAGGTGGATCTCTGTGAGTTTGAAGTCAGCCTGGTCTACAGAGCGAGTTCCAGGACAGCCAGGACTGTTACACAGAGAAACCCTGTCTCAAAAGCCCAAAAAGGAAAAAAAAAAGATTTTAAAAATAAAAACGACAAAAAATATTGGTAGGATGAATATAAAAATAAAGGTGAGGTTAAGATTATAAGTGGGATAAGTACAAAGGCATCAAATTCACCAAATTCAGTTTTAGAATTGTCTTTTAAAAGAACAGTCTCACTGTATGTCTTTGGTTTACTCTGTAGATAAGGCTGGCTGCAAACTCACCGAGATCTACCTGTCCCTGCCTCCATAGTACTGAGATTAAAGGCATACCTCACCACACCTGGCCATTTTCAAATTTTTTAAAAAGATTTATTCATTTTATTCTATGTATATGAATATTTTGCCTGCATGCATTTATGTGCCTGTGGAAGTCAGAAGGTGTTGGTGCCCCTGGAACTGGAGTTACAGATGGTTGTGGGTGCTGGAAATTGAACTCAGGTCCTCTGCAGCAGCAAGTAGTGCTCCTAACCACTAAGCCATCTCACCAACCCCAGTTTTAGAATTCATAAGGTTTTCATTTTTGATTTTGGTTTGCAATAGGGTGTCACTATGTAGCTCTGACTAGCATAGAACTCATTACGTAGATCAAGCAAGCCAGAGATCTGCTTGCTTCTGTCTCCGAAGTGCTAGTGCGTGTGCCACCAACCCAAACCCCAAAATTCTTAAGACTGATGAACACTGAAGAGGAGGTATACTTTAATATACATGTATGTATACTAAGTATGTATATATGTGTATGTATGCATGTAATATATATTCATATATGTAATGCATATCAGTATTTAAAATCTTCCCTACTAGTCAGTAAGGTTCTTCTATATTCTAAAAACATTAAGCCAGGTGCTTGTATATAAAACTCTTGAAACGCATACATTTTGATTATTTGAAAATGTAATGAAAGTGGGGTTGGAGTCATAGTGTAATGCTAGACTGCTTGCATAGTACATACAAAGCTCTGAGTTGGACAGCCAGCAGTGAAAAACAAAAAAGTTAGTGACATACAAAGAAAACTGACCCAGGATTAAGCTTGCTGGTAAACACATTCAGAGTAAACGCGCACAACTATGAACTTATGACTTTGTAAACCTTCTACCCTTCTAGTTCACAACATGAACCCTAGAAAGCAGGACCTGGAAAGGAGAGTGGTCTAAAGTCTCATGCAGTTGCCAGCTTGACTGAGAGCACCCGACGGTTTACACTCCGAGGGTTACGAAACATCATGTGTGTAAGGCCTTCAGTCACAAGGACGTGTTTCCCATAGAGGTAGATAAGTGACAACAGCTGAAGTGAACTCACTCCTGCCTGCTGCACCTGGACGGAGAGTGAAAACACGCCAGGAACAGCTCTGTGTTGTGAGGAAGCTGACGTACAAGACTCTTGTACATGCTGTTAAGGGCAACAGGCTGCACAGCGGGTATAGAAACGCCTGCTATCCTCGAGTTCTCCTTTATGGGAAATAGCCCTGAAGCTACAGTTACTTTAGAAACTAGAAATTTGAAGGGTAAGGTGCTCAGAGAAAACTTTAAAAACAAGTTTCTGAATAAGCCCTGTGCTGCAAGAGTAACTGCCACTGTCATTGTTTAGGTAAATACTTGACCCCAAGTACAGGTGCATTTGGAGACCCATCTGATCCCATTCTGTTTTCTGAGTTCAACACTGACAATCCATGCACACCACTGCTCAATTTCCAGTCCACAAACATTTATTGTCTGTAGGTACCAGACACTCTGCTTCATCTTCTTTCCTTTTTAATTTTTTTATTTTTATGTCATATGTAAGGTATTTTTTTGCCTGTATATGTTTGTGCACCACATGCTTGCTGTGCCTGAGAAGTCATAACTGGACCCCCCGACACCAGAGTTATAGATGGTTGTTAGCTGGCATATAGGTGCTGGGAACTGAACCCAGGTCCTCCTCAAGAGCAACAAGCGCTCTTACTGCTGAGCTGTCTCTCCAGCTCCCCACTCCCTAGGTACTGTTCTTGATGCAGAGTGCAGAAGTGAACAAGCAGAGATCAGTTTATGTGTAAAGCCCTAGTTTTAACCTCTATAGCCCTAAAGGAACACAACATCGTGTGTCCTATGAATGGTACGGACAATGGGAAAAATTCCAGAAAACCATAGGAAAAAAACAATGCCAAATAAGTGCTATGGGGAAATTACGTGCAGAAAAGGGCTATGCAGTATAGAGAAGAGGAATTTTAAGGAGTGCAGCTGGAAAAGCCTTTGAGAAGAGTGACATTTGGATCAAGACAGGACTGACGTGGGGGAGGTGCGTTCCAAGCAGGAAGGATCGATCACAAAAATTCAAGGACCTTGTAATGAAACAGTGTCTGTCATTGAGAAGCATCAAGGTTGCCACTGGGTCTCTAGAAGGAGACTGAGGGCACAGTAGGAGATGACATCAAAAAGATGGCCAGAGCTAGGTCATAAAGGACTTCACAGGGGAGGTGAGAGAGACACGATCTGACTTTAATAGGACCACTCTGTCCACTGGGCTTTGAAAATAGACTTAAGTCAGGGTGAGACTGCAAGGATCATTTAAGACTCTGCTTTGGAAACAGGGTTGAAACTCCAGATGGAGTCATGTAACTGAATGTGGGGGCTTTGAAAAATTTTGTCAGCAGTGAAAGGTTTCTGGACATGTAACGATCAAATATTGACTTCCAATCAGTGTCCTGGATGCAGAGCTCGTCCGGTAGCACTCACCTGCACGGCATCAAGTGAGCCACTGCAGCCTTGACTCTGAACACAAGACGTGTACTTTAGATTGCGGCTCACCCATCAACACTGATGAATGCCACCTAAAACACCTCAGCTTGGACTCCAGATGACTTGATGTTAAGAGTCACGGTGTTTTTATTGCATAGATAAGGTTTTCTGCTCTTATGGAAGCACAGTGTAATGGTTTAATTATGGAAACAAAGGATTTTAATATTTTTCCACCATCATCCCTCAGCATGTAAGTACCTAGTATATGAGTGGATTGTATTGTGTTAGAATGTTTGAAGGGCTGGAGAGATGGCTCAGTAGTAAAGAGCACTTGCTGCTCTTGTAGAGGATCTGGGTTCAGTACCCATCATCCATGCGGTGGCTCAGAAACATCCATAAAGTCAGTTTCAGGGAATTTGATGCCCTCTTCTAGCCTCTGTGAGCACTTGGCATGCATGTAGCACACACATGAAGGAAAACATTCAGACACACAAAATAAATAATTTTTTAAAGTCCGCATTAAGAACCTTTAAAAAGTGTTAAGAATAGTATTGTTTTAGTCATGTGTAGTGCTACACTGGTACACTCTTATAATCCCAGCACTTGAGTGCCTACATTCTTAAATATTCAGCTGAGATTAATTCTTTATGTAAAAATGAACCAGCACATCCATATCAGTGTGAACATTTGCTTTCATATTTTAAAAATGGTGAAATTCTATGTATACAAGTAATTGATTTAAAATAAATGTATGATGTAATTATTCCTTATTAACCTTTTCCTCTGAAAACCCCTTTATGCAACCCCAATGTATAGATAAATTAGGTACACAAACCAGATATTTGTAACCCAGGTTGGCCTCAAACTCACAGAGGACACATCTTGATCCTCCTGCTCCCACGTCCCTAATCACAGCTTGTGCTGGCTCTCAGGCCAGGTTTGTGCACACCAGGAATCAAACGCAGGGCTTTGTGAATGCCAGGCAAGCACTTCCCCAACAGAGCTACACCCCTAGTATGCTTACTTTTTCAATTTATTTTTTAAAAAATGTGTGTCGTGAGTGTTTGTGGACTGTGTGAGCATGGGTACCTGGGGAGAACAATCGGGGGCGTGGGATAGATCCCCGGAACTAGAGTTACAGGTAGTTGTGATCTACCATGTAGGTTCTGGGAAACAAACCCAGATCTTCTGCAAGAGCAGCAAGAGTTCTTAACTGCTGAGCCAACTCTGTCACCTCTTTCTTCAATTAAAAATATTGTTTGTTTGCTTGTTTATTCTTTTTGAGACAGAATCTTGTATAGTCCAGGGCTGTCTCAAAATTCACTGCCTAACAAGGATGATCTTGAATCTCCGATTCTCTTTGTCACACCTCCTAAGTGTTGGGATTACAGGCGTGTGCCACCACACCTGGCCATCCACTTTTTTAAAAAATTGGTTCACTCTAAAATCGTCTTGTTTCATATCATGTAAATGAGCTGAAATGTCAGGGTACTACATTTGCACTATTCAGCTAAAACTGAGAATCATCACACCATTCCTATTTCACGCTGCCATCAGAAAATTAAGTCCCCTTGTGTCTCACAGACTTTCCTTAACTGTCAAATTCAAAACCAAGTGTGCCTCCGCCCAGACACCTAAGCTGTGGTGGACCAGCCCCTCCGGAGCTGGTCCGCGCTGTGCACACTGGGAGTTGTAGTTCGCCTCTCTCCCTGCGATCAGGGTCTCGGCCACATGAGCGCCTCCAGCGGCGAGCACGTTTGGTGACGCCGGGTGTGCACAGGAGGCTGAAGCGTCTCCTGGCAACGGGGGAGCTGCGACGTCATGGTGGCGGGTTCTCAGCGCTGAGGCCAGGTGGAACCGTCAGTGCACCTTCCAGCCGCTGTGTCCGACGTCCTCCTCTGCCTTGCGCTGTCGTTCCTGTCCCGGCTGGTCCCGAGCTACCTCCCAGGAGTCTTCGCCGCAGCGGCCCGCCGGCCTCGGCCTTGGCCGCGGTGGGACGATGCTGGAGTCTATTCGTGTGACGGGTGAGTGCAGACAGGGCCCTCCAGGGTGGCGCGGCTGCAGAGGGTGGAGACCTTTGGGGTCTGGACTCGGAGAACCAGGACGCGCGTGTACGCGGCGCGGCACCGGGATCCCTGCAGAATGAAGGGAACACTGTCCCTTTCCTGTTGTCAGTTAACTAGCCACAGGCACGAGCTGTGCAATCTAGAGAGTGTAGTCTAGAGTACAGCTTTATTTCGGAGCATTTAGGTGTGTAGGGAGGTGTTATATTTTCTAGAATGTTAAAAAAAATCAGCTAAGGAAATATATCTCCACATTTCAGTTTACGTTGTGTATGCTTTTATGCTTAAACATCTTGAATTGACGTTATTAATAAGGATGGGTGTTTAGATTCAAGGTTGGAAAGTTTACTTATCTTTCACTTTTAAGTTGCTTTGCATATTAGCAATATTTAAATCTTTAATAATATTATACAATTCCTGGGCCCTTTCCCCTGAGTTTGATTCTGCATGAAAACATTTCTTCAGGATAGGTACCAAAACAAGAGAGTTAAGGAAATAACTATTAACCAAACTAGAGTCAAAAATAAGCCTAGAACTTTTAGCTTCAGGGTATTGGAGTACTCAGTAGGCCAGTTTTCTGAGTTAGTTGATTTGAGGCAGGGTCAATGTTACCCAGACTGGCTTTGAATTTATAATCCTTCTGCTCCAATCTCCCAAGGGCTGAGATTATGGACATCACTGGCTAAGATTTTTTTTTTTTTAAGTTAGCATGCAAAGTAATAGGTTTCATTATGGTACTTCGAAACTCAGGTATGTATGTTGCAATAGTGTTTTTTAAATGGAAAAACTAAGTTATCTTTGATCGAAAATATATCTGAATCTTAATTTTCTATGCTATGTGCAGAAGTGGTTTTTGCACAATCCTATAACCTACAGTTTACTCCGTTGTTATGTTGACAGAAAACTTATTTATAAAAGCCAAAATCTTAGAGGCCACTTAGATTGGCATTAGGCTTTTTGAAATTGTGATTTGATGTAGATATTACGCTTTCATCTTAGAATAGAACATCAGAGACAGAGGCAGGCCAGTTTCCACAAGTTTGAAGTCAGCCCTGCCTATAATAACAAGTTCCAGACCAGCTAGTGATACCCTGTCTTCAAAAATAAACAAACAAAACCAAAACAACACAACGTTCAAAGCTGCTTGAAAACAATAATTCTGGCAGAAGGGGACAAATGTAAGCAAGTTTCAGAGACTTGAGTGCATGAGGATGGTGGGTCTGATAGCTTGCTTTCTTACCGTGAACTAGGTTTACAGCAAGACACAGCAGAAAGAAGAACATAGTTTTGTATACTAAAAAAATTAATTAAAAATACAAGTCCTTTTTATGATATAGAGCAAGACTTCTCAACTTCAGCACTCTAATACTGGAGAAGTTAATTCTTTATTGTGAGTGACTGTTTTCTCACACAGAGAGAATTGTGACAACCAAAAATGCCCCGTGGGTGGCAAAATACTCCTCTCCCTGTCATCTAGTTAAAAACATTGCCTTGAGGAAAATAGATTCTGTCATCCATGTGAGTCACTGGGTTTAGAAATTGCATTGATTAAAATAATTTCTCCCAAACCTAAAGTCATTATAGTGAGAATATGATTAAAATATTAGTACAGTATATGATTAATATGGTGTATGATTTAAGGATAATGTTAGAAAGTAGATATTTTGATAGTCTGCAATACAGAGAAGATTGCCTGAGTATGTAGAGTCAGTTTGAGGATGGATTGATTTTTAAACAGAAGACCCACTTTTGTTGGATCAGTTCTTTCCCCATAATTTAGTGAAGTGCAAGCACTGCTCCAAGTTGGTCTTGCATATACTGCTGTAGATAATTTGGTAGAGAAACACTATCCATTAGAAGACTTTAATCTCTAGAAGTTTTTTTTTATTTATTATGTATACAATATTCTGTCTGTGTGTATGCCTGCAGACCAGAAGAGGGCACCAGACCTCATTACAGATGGTTGTGAGCCACCATGTGGTTGCTGAGAATTGAACTCAGGACCTTTGGAAGAGCAGGCAATACTCTTAACCACTGAGCCATCTCTCCAGCCCCCAATCTCTAGAAGTTTTAAACATTCACTTTTGTTACAGAGGGGTTTCATCATCATCATCATCATCATCATCATCATCATCATTATTTTAGACAGACTCTACTGTAGTCTAGGTTTTTTACTGAAATGTCAATCAATCAATGAATGGGACAACCAAACCATAAAACACACCTGGACTATCCCGACCTTCCCTTACTCTGCATGTCTCAGGTGCTCATTCTTTCCATTAGCAGAACAACTTGATTGTGATAAGAGTATTGATGAAAATGCATTCCTTTTTTTTTTTAAGCTTCGCAGTAGCCTTGGTGGCATAGGCCTTTAATCCCAGCTACTTGGGAAGATGAGGCAGAAAGACAGCAAGTTCAAGGTCTTACTTGGAAATTTATTGAGAGCCTATCCTAAAATAAACATAAAGGAGCTGGGGAGCTGGGGATATGGCTCAGCTGAGAGAGTGCTTACCTAGCATGCAGGAAGCCCTGGTTCTACTGCCACACACCATATAAACTGGACATGGTAGTACACACTTATGACCCTGGCACTCAGGAGGTAGGAGGATCAGAAGTTCAAACAGAAAAAAAAAGCTATAAATATAAAGTGGAATTTTTCATTTCAAAACTAAAGTGCAGTTTTTGTGAGGTCATTTTATACGATGCCCACTTTTGACCTAGTCATGATGTGCTATAAGCAAGACATCCCAGTGACACTGCTGACTGGAGGGTAAGATGACCCAAGGCCCTGTGGAAGCTATGGGAAAATGTCATTGAGGCAGAAACGTTTCCTTACCTTCTTTCCCCCTTTTCTCTCCCTCCCCACTCTCCCTTGCTACTTTCTCTTTCTTGCTTGCTTTTTTCTGCATAGCCCAGAGTGGCCCCTGGCCTTGTCTCCTGAGTACTGCGATTACGGTTTGCAACACCATACCTAGCTCACCTCTTATGCCCTTCTGTTCTTCTTCTGTCTCCTTTTAGGCACACTGCCTCACTTTGTAGCCATGACTGGTACAGGACTCACAGGGATCCTGTTTCCAGAATCTCGTGAGGAACCACACCAGCTGTTTCATTGGCTTATATCTCCTGGGATAATATTCTTTTCCATTAAGCCTCTGACAACCAGCTAAATGGTGGGAGGCACCTGTAACCTCAGGATTCGGAAGATTAGGAGTTCGTGGTTATCCTTAGCTACACAGTGAGTTTGAGGCCAGCCTGGGATATGTGAGATCCTGTCTCAAAAGACAAAACAAAACCCACAGTGTCCTGGCATAGTGACTCACACCTGCAACCCCAGTATGTGGTATTGGTATTTCAGCACCCCCTCTTTTTTTGCTTTCAGTTTCTGTTTGAAGATAGGGTCTCGGTTTGCAGCCCTGACTGTCCTAGAACTTTCTAGTAGACCAACTAGCCTCACAATCAAGAGATCCACCTACCATAGACTCCAGAGTGCTGGATTTAAAGTGATTTGCCACAATGCCTGGTTTTCTTTCACTTTTTAGAGACAGTCTTACTATATAACCCATGATAACTTTAAATTTGAGCTTCTCCTGCTTCTGTCTCCCAAGTGCCAGGGTTACAGTTAAGAACCACCATACTTAACGTCTACTTCATAGTTCTAGTTGAGACTGCTTTAGTGTTACCTTATTAATAATAATCCTCCAGCATTTGTTTTTTCCTCTTTACACTAGTGTGTATGTGTGTATGTGTGTGTGCATATGTAAGGGGGTTGGGGAGATAAGTGTGCAACAGCATATATATGAAGGTCAGTTATGGGGATGAGTGTGCAGCAGTGTACATGTGGAGGTCAGCATAATTTTCAAGATTTGGTTCTCTCCTACGTTGTAAGTTCTAGATGGAATTCAGGTTGTCAGATTTGACAAGCACCTTTACCCACTGAGCCATCTCACCAACCCTAGTAAGTGTCTTCTAGTGAGACTTACTTTCTGTTCTTCTACAGTGAGAAGTCCGCAAAGCACTACAGAAGCCCTGATGGCGGTGGTGGTAGTGAAAGAGAGCATTGACCGTAACTTAACAACAGAGACAAATTTCTCCCCAGCTTTAGGAGAAAATTGTCCATAGCTATGCAGTCCAAGTCAGATCCTTCCCCTACATCCTCATCTCTCGCACCCCCCTTAATCTCCCACCCCTGTCATGTTGTCAGTTGCTCAACTCGTCATTTTCTCTCTAGACACCTCTTCTCTTGGGATGTTTGGTTAGTAGCTACTTATTCTTCATTTCGAAGAGCACTTTGTAAGGGAATTTCACTGCATACCAGACTCTCCTAGCATCCTGAAGTCACCTCCTTGAAGTGACTGCCACCGTTGCAGTCTCATAGTTGTTGTCCTGATGGCCTTCCCCAGCAACAGAACTGCTGACAGTGGGTTTGTTCCCCTCCTGCTTAGGAAAGGTAGCCTAGGGAGGGAGATACTGAGAAGAAAGAAAGAGGAGAAAATTGTTTGCTTGGACCTTGGTTTCTATTCTTTCTTTGTGCAGGGCAGAGGGAGTGTTGCTTTTAGATAGGTTCTCTTTCTAGCCCAGATTGGAACTCATTGTGTAACCTGGGCTGGCCTCCTTCTTTAGCACCCCCTAAGTGCTGGGATTACAAGCATAAGCCACAGAAGCCTAGGCTACTTTTGCTGCTTCTGAACTAATATAAATGTAACCATGCACTCCCTTGATCCAGCTTCCTTTATCCCGCTTTCTCTGATGTTCCTCAGCATTGTTACTTGCAACCTCAGTTTAATTTCCATGCAGACTACTCCAGCATTCTGATAAGTTAATACTGTTGATAGACATCATTTGAGCTTAAGTGATGAAATACTCGATAACATTAGAGTGTTTATCTTTGGACATTATGAAGTTTTTGTTTTGTTCTGTTTTACATCCCTTTTTGCAGCTGGGCTTCCTATGACAAATTAACC